ACTGCGGTCCATTCTGGCCGTCGTCCCCGGAGATAGCGCAGTAAAATCACCCTCAAACGGGCAGCTGAACCATGTCGACAGCCTCAGCACCACATCAGTTGAGGGTGCGCTCAACGAACAAGATTTGCCCCTCCGCGAACCGGCTCTTCGTGGAGAGCTGCTTGGCGCGCTGACGCGACCAACAAAACAGAGGCGACGGCAAGGGCAAGATTGAAGCGGGTAGCAAACGTCTAACTACTAGCCAGCCATGCAATTGCGCTTGTAGAACCTCTCGCAGCCGCCGCATTGAGCGCTGCAACCGGTCGCAACTGCTCCTCAACGGTCGACGAAGTCAAAGCGGAGGTATGGCACGGGAAACGCTTCTCTCAGCCTCGACAAGGCCGTGCAGCGACGAAGGGTGGTCGTTTCTGGCCAGCAGCACGACCGCGCTGGCACTGTTGGTCTTGAGCGGCAAGGAAAGCGGCTCAGAAAAGGCACAGACTGGCCACGACCTTCGAAAAGGTCGAGCGCTATTGCGCTTAGGCTGTGGCGAATGTTGCGCACACGGCCAGGGGAGACAGGCAGCCAGGCCGAATGCATAGACTGCCGTGAGAGGCACACGCGAACGCCGCGCAACCGTTCTTACAGCTGCCAGGCCGAGTGCAGCAATACAGTTTTCCCCCCGCGTTGTCCGCACCCCTCTGGCAAAATACCCCCATTCCTAGGGGATGCTCTTTTGATACCCGGAGTCTTTCTGCCACGCCCGCCGCTTCACCAGGTTCAACCCAGGACGCCCACTGCCCACAATCAGCCATTACGTGGTGCCCCAAGGGCCACATTCCCACCAAACAACCACACTTCCCGCGGTCAGCAACCACGGTATGGCCCACGGGGCATATTCCCATCAAACAACCACGTGGCGCCTCCACGTGCCCCTCCTGGCTCCGTCTCGCCATGATCCGCGGCAGACCGCCAGGCGGGCAGCCCCCTAGGCAAACGCATGTGTCCGGTGGCAACCCAGGTGTTCCTCAGTACTCCAAGGCGTATTCGGGGCATGTTTGACTCATGCGACTCCGCGCGATGCGCTGCCACGTATTGGCGTTGTGCTCAACATCTTTATAGTAACTCAGTGAACTCTTTGGGCGTATGATGCAGTTGCCATCATCTGTCTTTGTCATCAAAGTCATCTCCCTTCATTCTGAGTGCCTTGAGCTTGCAATTTGATGATGATCAGTGTGGCGAAGGTGCCGAGGCTGTCGACATCCCCTTTGCACCTTATCCAGACCTCACGGGTCGCCAGCTGTGTGATATCATTAATGCACTAACTTTTTGATGAGCCCCATTAATTGGCGACCCGAACAAAGTTCAACTCAAAACTGACACTAAACCTGGAAGGGGACTAACAAGACACCCATGGCGTTATGTACAGCGTCCACTGGCCGGGCAGTGGCGCATGAAAAAGTCGTCTGCTTCACAGGCAGTGCGCCTCCTTTTGGGGTCTTCCCCCGCACGGCATTCTCGGCCCGCGGTCCCTCATTTTCCCGCCCCGTTTTAAAGGGGCAAAGGGGGCAATAAAGGCCCCGGTTTATTGGGGCAAATTTGCCCGAATCCTACAATCTTAACCTTCCCCCTTGGCCCCGGCCACCTTCGAAACGGCTGGTCCACAGGCTCCACGTGCCCTGCCGTCGGCCCTCGAACGCCGCTGGGCGGCCTCCCAGGCCCGGCATTGGCTGCGGGATGGCGGAGGCATTGGCGCGTTTCGAGCACGGCGAGAGCCTGCTGGACCTGCTGATGCGGCAGCAGACGCGCGGGGAGAACGGCGTCAGGTGGGGTGCGCAAATCCTTACAGGCAACGTGAAAAATCGACACACCGGTCTTGTCACGTGTCTCCGCTGGACTCAGGTAGTTAGACAGCGTCCCTTTGCTAGCTGTCTATAATGACCTCACAATAATTGGCAAACCCCACAGCCACAGCATCGGCGCCAGTGGGGGCACATGGCGGGAAGGGAGGGGAGGGTGGGGGAAAAATGAAAAGAAAAGAACATCGGCGTGCGTGAATTGATCTTGGTGGGTGGACGGGCAAAGGGGGTGATTGATCTTGATGGTTGAGTCGTCAACGTGGGGCTGGGTGGGACTGCAGACCGTGATGAGCACGGCGTCATTTGCAGGGCCGGAGGGAAGGGATGGGACCTTTGGTCGGGGGATGGCCGGTGGGGGGGGAGGGGTCGGCGTGCGGGAGATGATTGATCATGGTGCGGTGTGGTGAAAGGGCTGTTGATTCTGATGATTGGGTTTGGGAGGGTAAGGCTTGTTGCAAAGGGAAACGGGTCAGAAAAGTGCACCCCCTCCTGAGACTCTTCCCTGTGCTGTGAGAAGGTGATGTGGAGTCTCCAGTGTCAGGAGGGTCGGGAGGAGGGGGGGAGGGTGGAAGTTGGGAGTGGGGGCAGCTGGGGTGGAGAGCAGATGGTGGCTGTTGCACTCTGTGGGATGGTGCAAGTTGTTTGCGATGGCTGGCTGCGAGGATCGACGGGGTTTCCTCTCTTCTCTTATTTGTTTTGTTGGGGATGCGTGGGTGGGGTTGCGGGTGACCTAGGGGAGGCGCAAGTGCTTGAACAGATTTGGGAGACTTCATGGGGCACATTCAGGCACGTCTCGCAGGCCCTGCATGCCCACCCGGTTTGGGGCTGCCAGGACTCGCGGGTTTGATGAAAGCGCGGGGCTGGGAGGGGGCTATACTCTGATCAGCACGCGCCAGACTGAGTGCAGTGCACAATGGTGGGAACGAACATGGAACGGAGGCCTTTGTGACTAAGCTAACTGAAGTTATGGGAAGAAGATGGTCATGAGAAATCAAGGCACGCTGGGGACGCGAAATGACCTGAGCGCCCAGTGCCCGAACGGGTGTGTGGGTGGGTGTGGGTGTGGGTGGGTGGATGTGGGGGTAGGTGGGTATGGGGCGGGGGAAGGGGGCAACCATCTTCATCTTCTTCCTCTTCTCATTCGTGGAGAGTGCTGGGCATGGCTTGGGGCAGGCGAGATGGGCGCTGGTCGAGGTAGGGGAATCATCTGTTGCGACAGCAGAAGCATCGATGCTCAGCTGCCTCTACTGCCCCATGTGTATTTGGATCTGTGGATGGGCATGGCGTGGTCCTGGCTGGCAGCATGGGCCAAGGTTCATTGTTGAATGGAAAATCATTTCACACACTGGGCACAGGCCTCCTGGGCAAAATTGGTGAGACCCTTTCCTTACTGTGAAGATGACTTGGACATCTGTGAAGGCAGGGTGAGAACATGCAACAGCACAGCCCACTGCTGATGGGCAAAGATTGCTGTGCCCCCCCTGTAGTTGAGGTTCATTGTTGTTGCTGATCGGAATGGAACAATAGGGATAGAAAGGTGAATGGTGGTCGATCAACGACAGTGCTAGACGAGTGGGACTTTACCTCAAAGATTGGTGGACGTCTGCTCCCCAAAGGGGACAATCAGGAAACCACATGAAAAAAATTCGGAATGGAATATGGAGGGCTGGCTTGCCTTGATGGGGAACCGGTTTCCAACCAGCTGGGGGCTTGTTGCCTCATGGGATCCCACCCTTTGGCCCTGTGCACTCGCCTCGATGGACTTGCCGTGCTCCTGGCTGATTCCTATCAGGTCAGTCAGATTAGAGGAGGTTGCAACACGCCAAGGCATCTTGCCACCAAACCCCAAAAAAACCTACCCCAGTCTTAGAATGCCAAAATGAAAGTATCCGATGTCCAGAATGCACTGAAATCATGTCCATACACTCCAGGCGACAGTGCACATCAGCAAATTGCAGAATAAGCGAAATACCCAAAATTGGTTTGTGTTCAATGCCCTTCATATTTCCTGCAGGCTGAGCTTTCACCCAGAGCTCCTCTCCACAATGGCGCTATCAGCGTCCCCCTATCACTTCTGCGCAGTGACCGGCAACACAGAGCTAGCATGCTTCCTGTACTTTAGGGGGGTGGACATCACCAGGAACATCACCGTGGCGTCCTTTTCCGCAGCCGGAGCAAATGGATCCACACCCTGGAGGAAGGAGATCTTGGTGTCAGCCGCAGATGCAGCCTTGCTGGCAGGTGGGAAGGAAGCACATGCTGTAGTACTGCTGTAGTATATTCAATCCTTCTGCATAGTAACATAACGCTTGGAATGAAAATTAAATAACACTGTGGAATCAGTGTGGAGGCAAAATGCGTTATGGTAGTTTTTTTGATGCGGAAGGGTTGAATATACTATGGTGCCCCTTGGTGTGATCCCTGACTTGCACTGTCAAAACGTGGCAAAGCGCAGCTCCTGCACCTGCGAGCAGTTGTCCAGTGAATGGTTGAACACAGAATGTCCATGACATGAACTCCTTTAATTCCAATGTCCAAATCAGTGGGTGAAATGGCTAGCATGCAGCGAATTTGCCGCAGTGAACAGTGGCAATCATTTCACAGCAGGAAACTTGTTGTGGAGTGGATGCCCTTGTGCTGGCACAGAATGTTGTGAGAGCCTTTCATGCTAAGAGGTATGATGCAGAATTTTGCATGTGCAATAGGAATACCACACAACACAGAAGCACATAATGCAAGAAGACGTGCTGTTCAGGGGGTATCAGCATTCCCAAGGGGGCATGTGTGTGTAGAGGTGCCAACTGGCACAGACCTGCAGTGCTTCAGTACTTTCTGTCATCAGTCCTGTGGTCTCCATCTATGTGATCTCCTGAGGCGAGCCTGGCATGGCAGGCTTAGCCACTGCTGGCCCCGAGCCATACGGCCATATGCATGCCATATGGGCATATTGATGCCATATGGATATATGTGGCGGGTATATGCACATGGAAGAACATATGTTGTTCACCCCTGGGTGTGTCTGCAATCCAGCTGTTGAACCACGTTTAGAAGTTGTCTGGAGCAGTGGAAAATGATGGACCCATTCCAAGCACGACTCATAGTGCCTTGCCACAGGGAACTCGAGGACTGCCCAAGCACTGGGGCTGGCAGAGCAGGGCGTGCCTCTGTGCTGGAGTCAGGAACAGCACCACAAGTTTCCTGAAGAGTTCAGGGACAAGGTGGGTGTGGACAAATAAAAACATTCCGCATTCTGCAAATCTATGTGCACGATGCAGTTGCAGTTGTCCTAATCTGGTTTGTGCACTGTTGCATTGTCATGCAACGCTGGAGCTCAAAGATTGTCAGCTCAATCAATTTATCAAGGAGTGTAATGTCAAGGCAAGGAGACTGGCTTCAGCACGCTAGTATGCCATTGAGAAGCTGTGCCATTGATTTGTTCAACAGAAGCCTAAGGTGCTGAAACCCACATGCCCAAGTTCTGCTACCTCCACAATTTCCAGTATAGACCTTTGGTGACAATGCATCGAAGCAGGCATCCGGAGAATGTGATGCGATATATTAGAATAGAAGAACCATGAAAGAAATATCTTTCTAGACATGTCTCTGCAAAGAAGCGAACCAGAACAGATGCAAAGCAAGTTTTGGCACTGCCATGAGCAAAAACCTGAAGATCAACACCCTTTCAGGCAGACTGGGTGCAAGGCTTGGTACTTATTGCCTAGAGCTTGGCTGTGTATTTTCTTCGCCTGACTGGTGCTTTTTGGCTTGTTGTTCCAAGCTCTTACAAGAAATTCAAGAGTACAGGAAATGGTGGAGTTTTATGAGCCTCAACCTCGCTAGACGAAACAGAGGCTAATGGCTGCCTCCATACCTTGATATGATACCAGCATTTCTTACCTCACTGGTTATTGGGAAGCGAATATCAACGATCTTTGCTGTCCTCATAGGCAAGGTCCACAGTGGGCGCCCTGCTGAAATGTGGATGGTTCATCGCGCTGCCTGGCCCCGCTCGAAGGGTGGTAGTGAGCAATGCGATGCAGCACCTGACACGGACACTGGTATGGGGTGCCGTGAACCCAAAGGTGTTCCAGCATCGTTGGGAGGACGTCTTGGGGCCAGAGCTGCACGAAGCGGCATCCAACGTGTTGCAGAAAGCGGCCTATGTGCCAGTGTCAACGACCATCCAGCCATCTCCGCAGTACCAGTTCCGGGTTGCACAAGGTGGGACGCTCTGGGGGCATGTGTGCTCTTTTGATGGGAGCTGGGCCGTGTTCTCTTTAGTTTGTGTTTGTTCCACCCATTCTCAGGTTGTTGAGGCTGTTATTAGATCTGGTGTTGTTAGATGATCTCAACTCAGTGGAGAGACGTATGTCATGAGGAGTGTATCAGTTTCCATGCTGCTATGCTGGATGCACGGATTCATTCCCATGTTGAAGTTTTGTGCGATTCTGCTTTGTTGGGTGTGGCACAGTGGGGCACGGCAATGCAACAGTGTGTACCTTCGGTGTGCTGTCCTGCCTCTGCTGTGTCATTGTATTGCATTGCCAAGGTGGCGATTGGCATTTCATGTATGTGCTGGTGTGCTCTCCAGGAGCAAACACTGCGTTTTGGAGGGGACCAATCATATGCATTCTTAAGTACTGATTTGTAGCACTGGCTCATTTAGCTTCTTGGCAAGTCAAGGTTGTAAGTCTGCAATCCTGCAGTGATCCGCAATGATGCATGCAACGCAGATTTATGCATGTGCATGCAACATGGATTTTTTGTAACAATGATGATAGAAACCTCTTCTCTCAAGAAAATGCAATTTTTCCACCCTGGCGTCCCTGCATCTAACTTGTGTGTGGACCGTGTGCTACGTGCTAATGAAGAATGGCTGCAAAACACATTTGAGATTATGCTGTTTGGGGTTTCCTTTGTTCAAGCTGTGTATGTAGCATGGTTCACACTGCCATTGCCCAGTTATCATCAATCTATGACACTGTTCAGCATGAAAGTGAAAATTTTGAATGGAATCACTGCTTTGGCCAACGCTGACAAAGATCAATTTTGGTGCAGGTGCAGATTCTGTATCTGTGCACACATCATGTATGTATAGAGAAGTACCAATTCTGCATTGCAGAATTCATACAGATTGTGAAAAAACAACTGTACATGCTGTATAATAAGAATATGCCGCCATTCACCAGAATGCCTTCCAACTGTTGCCAGCATGCCAATTTGCCGCTGACCGCCCACCTTGTGTATTTCCCTGCCCTCAGCTCACCAGCGCGGTGGCAGAAGAAGACGCTGGGCGCTGGGATGTGCCCTGCGTGGTGCAGTGGGCGCCCTTTGGTGTGCGATGCACAGTCGCTTTGGCGGCAGCATTCCTCAGCACTGGGCTGTGCCACTTTTCATGGCCTCAGGCACCCCCCTTGCCCAGGTGGCCCTGCCATTTATGTTGGTGATCTTGAATGGGAGAGGTGTGCCAGGGTTGTGAATGGAGCTAAGGATGGCTGCTGTGTAGGATGGGGTGGGATTGGCAGAGTTGGCTGGCAAGATTGATTTTTGTGGAAGGGATGAAAACAACATGAGGGCTTGATTCTTCCTCTTGCAGGGATGACAAAAATTGCAAGGACTTAATTCTTTTTATGCTGAGTATTTGGGATGGGCATCAGCCAGGGGTGCACAGGGTGTTTGGCGCATTGCCGGGATTGATTCTTTGTTTTGATAGTGGGCTGGGGATGTGGGGAGGCCGCCCGAGCAGCAGGCACCCCCCAGCCGTCGAGATTTTGAAAAGGGTCTAGCGCTGCACACTCGCCGCCCTGACGTTTTGACGTCTGTGGACACTGCCCTTGGCGTCTGTTGATGGATGTTCTCGACGCATGGAATGTACATTCTTGACGTCCATTGGTGACGTTGTTGGCGTTGGTGCCCCGACGTCTGCTTGGGTGGAGTCGATGAGCTGCCGAGGGGGTTGACTCGGTGGGACAGTGCTGGAACGACATTATCTCGCTGGCCGCCCGAATGGAGTGCCCGGAATGGCAGCAATGGGATCTCTGGGTGGCGCCAAGTGTACTCCCCCCCTTGGCACCCTCATTGCACTGACCGAACCCAAAACCTGGGGCCGTTGTTTCTGCGCTGTTGATCTGAATACCTTGTCTGCTGGACGGGGGAGGTGATGAAACTGAGTTGGGAAAGGAGAGGAACGCCCCTCTTGGAAAATATGCCGCCAGCTGAGAGTACTTTGGTGCAGTGCCTTGGAGGCGCAGTCGATGGCGAATTGGCCCGGGAGTACGTCGAGGAGGGATGCAGGGCGACCTGCGCCCTTCTCACCAGAGCTTGTCGTCGTTTGGAGTATGGGGAGGTGCCTCTGGCGTTTGCAGTTTTTTGGGCGGGCATTGGGTGAGCACGGGACTGGGTGGGGTGTCTCTGTGCCAGTCCGTGCGGAAGGCCGTCATTCCCTGTTGGGCTTATGTGTTTATTAAGCGAAGAAAGAAATGTGGTACGAAAACTGGGAGGGAATTGAACCTCCTGGAAATTTTGTGGGATCAGGCAGGCTGAGAATGTGCCGATTGTATTGGAATTGGATGTATGCAAATCGATGCGAGTTTTAAATGTTTTCCGCGTTGTGAACTCCAGAGCCCAACTGCGTGCCCTGTGATGGTTCTGAAGTGGGATGACCTTGGCTTCCACCATGCGGATGCTGTTTCGTTTCTGTTGTCACTCACTCCGTTTTTCTGTTCCTTTGCTGTTTCCGGGGTTCTCTTGGACTGGACGTGCACAGCCATTTTCCAGATCTTGTGGAATGCTCCCCCTACCCGGAGTCAAACCCAACAGAGTCTCACAATCATTTCGCTCAAGAGGGGGCCACCCCATGCATGACAAGCTTCACACAGGCTCTTTGCATCAACCCCAGCGGTATCCACAAGACTCTCCACCGTTTCCCAGAGAGCGCCACAGGACGTTCCAGCCACCTTCCAAGCACATTCCGTCGTCATTCCGATGCATAAACAGAGACGCTCCTGCCTGCGGGGACCACGTGAGCCTCAGGGACCATGCGCTCGAGTCCGTTACCCGACGATGAGGGTGTTGTCATCAAGGAATTTGTACTCAGGCACCTCAAGGTTGTAAGGCGCAGGCCCTTTCCGGATGCGGCCAGAGATGTCGTAGTGCGAGCCGTGGCATGGGCAGAACCAGCCGCTGTAGTCGCCGGCGTTGGCGATGGGCACGCAACCCAAGTGTGTGCACACGCCAATGACCACCAGCCACTGTGGAGGCAACACAGGACAACGCTGCCATTAGGTCATGGCAACTTGCTAACGAAGTTCAACAAATGGACAGGAACAAAGAGGCAGTGGAAAACATGCACAAACCTCGCAGCCACTTCAGCCACTTCTCCTGGGCACAATTTCCCTTTCAGGTGTTGGCACACCTCTCACTTGTTCACAATGTTCACCAACCCCCGCAGAGGCAACAGTGGGGCAGAGTTTCTTTGCAGCACTGGTGTATACGGTAGAAATTCTCTCATGTAAAGCAGGCGATGGCCAGGCGATTCCCTTCTGTTCCATTGCAATAGAACCACAACTGTGTCAAAGTACCACTGCACTTCAAACAACCACCACCCACCCACGTCCCCCATCCCATCCTCACTTCCCTATTGTGTCTTTTGTTATGGAGCTCGCGGCTTCCCAAACTGCTTTCCCATATGATATGCTATGATGCATTCTCACACTAACAACCCTTGCATTCCATGCAGTGCATCATCATCATGAAGTCCAGGCATGTCTAAAGTCCAGTCACAAATCAACCCACTCACCAGCCAAAGCATCAAATAGTGTATTTTCAGGCACGTCCAGCCTTAATTCTCACCAGCCCTGGAGCCTAGGATTAACTTGTAGTGAATCTGTAATTGTATTGAATTCCACCAAACATTGCCAGACAATCTCTGCAACATGCCCCACATTTCTGCAATCAACAGTACGACACCGTTTGCCCCACCTCAGGCTTGGTGGCCCTTGCAGAGTCTTCCTCGGGGTCGCGCAGCGACGCCATGTCCACATCGTTTGCCAGCGCGATCTCCTTCTCACTCCTCCGGCGAATGAAGACTGGCTTGCCACGCCACTTCACCGTCACCGTCTGGCCCTCTTCGACAGCTGAGATGTCGACCTCAAGTGAGGCCATGGCCAAGACGTCCTTCGATGCCTGCAGTGTACCATGTGCATGTTTACCATTTTGAAGCATGGTGGTGGTGGCAGGGTTGGGGGCATCGATATTTCAAACAGGTATATTTTTCTTACTCCCAAGTATTGCAACGCATTCAAAAGACAGTGTTCCCCCCTCGCCCCCCCACCCCCGGGCAGGATGTGGGCGTTGAGCCACCTGCGTGCGGTTTTGGTTATCAGGTGGTTATCGGGTTATGTTAAGGTCCACCACAAAAGAGAATTGGTGACATCCATCCCCTGCAAGCAAGGTTCCAAGATGCTCACAACCTGGAATCTCCTCCCCTCAATTGGGCCCCCTTTTGTTCTCCTCAAACCAAGGCGAGTGTCATGTGTGTGGTGTGTGTGGATAACTCTTCTGCTAGAAAAAACATCGAACTGAAAGGTGCACGCTGAAGGCACATCAATTGGTAGCCCAAATCAATACCATCGATTATTGGCAATGAAAATATGAAAAAAAGGGCACCAGGCATAGTGCCAGCACAGGCCCCTTTCCCTGAAGTGGCAAACGAGATATGGAATTCAAACAAATGCCTGTAAGCCAAAACGGGAAAAAGCAGTTGAACATGCAAACCAATCCAGTAAGCATTGCTTCCAGCATATGACAACAAACCAACACAAAAATGAATTAATCGATTAAGTTTATTGACACAGATTTCCACCTCACCGTCATCGACAGGACAAACTTGAGGACGGCAAGCCTGATGGCGGAGGCGTACAGGAAGCGCCCACCACTCAGCACAAAGTATGTGAAGGCACGCTTGCTTGGGTCTCCAGGAGCGAACCGTTCATGATTCCGCTCATCATACCTGGTGCAACAATCCTGTTTAGTGCACTTGTCTGAACTGTATTTGTCTCAACTGAACTAAATTCTTCTAGCTTAGAATCCACACAGGGCATAGATTTGTCATGCGTCGCACCTTTGACACATAAGTATGTCAAACAGAGCAATTTCTGTGCAAGCGTGTCTCGCCGCTCAACTTTTGTTAAACCTTTAAACCCTCTTATCACAGGTCCCTAAACATGACAAGCAAGAGCCTTGCACCCATGGCACTGTTCACAATGCCAAGCACACCAATCCATGCATTCACTTTGTACACATCAGAAAGCTGTGGATGACATAAGCACAGAAGCCAATTAACACAGTAGTTTCCGTGCTGAAACTGCAGGATTTTCAGTATCAAGGCATTGGTGCCTAGGATACAGCAAAGACAAAAGAAAAGTCTTGTGCAGCAAAACAGGAAAAGAAGCACAGAAAACTACGATTTCAGCAAAAGTGATGAAATGTAATCTGCGATGGAGAATATTTTTTGAATACAAAAGAAAATCTCCAGTGCAAACCAGCTCTGCAATCAAAGGAAACCAGAAAGTGTCAGGTGTCTGTCTTCTGCTAGCAGATCTGCAAACAGCACTCACGTGATCATATTGGTGGGATTCTTCACGGCAGCCACTGTGGGTGACATCCCATGAGCAACCCCTGTGGCGATGTCCGCTGATGTGGCTGCACACCAATGCCAATGACTGTTATCAGGAAGATGGGATACATCAATGTGAAAACCATGTCCATCATCTTGGGGTTGCCAGGGCAAAGTTTTCTATCTTTCCCTCCCCTTTCCTGTCTTCCCTTTCATTGCTTGTCTTGCTTAGAACTGTAGTCAAAGACTGACATGTCTATCTTTCCCTCTGCAATGAATCCTTGACACCGCAGCCACCCACCTTCATAAAAATGAGCAAACAAGAGCTGTTTTTAATTTCCATTTTAAGAATGCTCTTCACTTTCATTTCCACACCATGAAAGGTATTCTGTTTTCTCCAAGCCCATTGCAAATAGCACTCAGGGCTTAGAACTGTAGTCAAAGACTGACATGTCTATCTTTCCCTCTGCAATGAATCCTTGACACCGCAGCCACCCACCTTCATAAAAATGAGCAAACAAGAGCTGTTTTTAATTTCCATTTTAAGAATGCTCTTCACTTTCATTTCCACACCATGAAAGGTATTCTGTTTTCTCCAAGCCCATTGCAAATAGCACTCAGGGCTGAGTTGGGTAAGCACCCATAGAACATGTGCTCAGGACACCAGCAAGATCAAGTTGCAAAAGATGGATACCCTGGCCTGTGCACCAGATCTCCAGGAAGGTGAAAGCCACTGGCAAAAGAGTCGATCAAGTCAAGAAAAGCAGAGGACACGTGTTCCTGGGTCTTGACACACACCCAATCGGTTAAAGCCATCTCTGCCAAGGGGGCTGACTGATTCCATAGTGGGATGGTGCGAATGAGGGCAGGTCCTCCGACGTGCAAAACAACAAGACAACCCACACTGGGGTCACCAGCAGGAAGAAGATAAATCAGCACTGGCCAAATATGTCAAACATCAGGCGACACTGGGTTTGGATCGAATTTAGCGCTGTTGTCAGCTTGCTGAAATCGCAGCCTTTAGGTGCTTAATGCACCTTGAGCCTCAGTCTCAAACTACTAAGCCAGCAGCAGCCTCAACAACAGGCTGACGCAACAGCAGAAGGCCATTGGGACCCGAAGGTGAGACTGAGGGAGGAGCGCACAAGAGACTACAGGCTACGGGGGACCCCGATTTGTCTTGTGAAGGCAAACACAACACGAGCAGTTCAGCTGGCTCAGGCGACAGGCCGGTTTGGGATTGTGGCTCCGACAATAAGGGCAACAAGCCGCGCTATAAGAAAGACGCTCCCGAGAGACAATTCTCGTCACAGATGCCATTTTCCACACTGCGGATTGTAATCACAAATTCTTGAAGCGAACACCACGCAACGCGAAGCAGCACATCGCGCCCAGAAAAGCGCCACACCTGCACCGACATCATGGACCTGGCTTACTCGCTGAGCAGGGGGTGCCCTTGCAAATGATCGCTCGTCGTTCTCTTCAAGAATCCCAACCATGACCATGCGCCAAGAACTCAACGGTCGCCTTCCCCGCGGCATCCACTCACCCAAGAATCTCCCAAATATCGACCCCGCCGCCGTCTGATCGCCATCCCCGAATGCCACCTGGGGCCGCATGCCAGCCAGAGAGCTCATCGCCAGTCCGCCCTGCCATTGCTCCAACAGGCGCGGGGCCAGGCCGTGCAGCGATCGGCGCAGCGCCATGCTCGGGATCGGCAGATCGACGCGGGGAACCTGCAGGAGGGATTGGCGGCACCCGGTTGGCCTCCCCGGGTCGGAGGAAGGCGTGGCCGAGCCCCTGGCTGGGCCAAGGCAGGAGGGCCAGAAACAGAGTGGGGTATGGCAGAAAGGGAAAGGGGCCAGTCCTGACCTATTCGCAGTGGACTTGCTGGGGTCTTTAGGTCACCATGGTGGGGAAGGAACGGGGCCTTGTCCTTTTCATCATCGTCACCATCATCGTCGTCAAGAAATCTTGCGTATTGTCAATGCAACCAATCCTGTTCACGGGAATGCAACGCAATGTATTGTCTGTGCTGGGTTGTTGGAGGAGGGCGCGTCCGGGCCCTGGCTGGGCGAAGGCGGGGGGCGGGAGGCTGTGGGGTGCCCTGCAGGAAGGTGCACGGGAGGGTGTATGCCGGGGTATTGTATGTCACATTACAGGCTTGGTTTTTACGTTTACGTTTACGTTTTTAATTTTACGTTTTTACGTGTAAGAATGTAAAATTGCAAAAGGGCCTATTTTTACGTGTAAAAACTTCATTTTGCAAAAGGGCCTATTTTTACAGCTATTTTTACGTGTTCAAGGCTCCCTGGGACACCCAGGTTACACGATGAAAGTTGTGTACTATGATGAGTCCTCCACCTTCTCCACACCGGCAACACAATGCCCACCTCGCCCTTGGCAAGGGCGTTTAACAAAAACTCGTTTTCTGTCCCTTCCAGAGCATCTGGCTGCCACTCTCCGTATTCCACAAGTCTGTATGCACTGTCCCTATGTACACCAGACAGTTTTACGTTGTGTTTACGTATTTTATGCATTTTTACAAGTAAAAACATAAATATGATCAGTTTTTACGGCATAAAAACCAAGCCTGTCACACTACGTTCTGTGTAGCTGTCTGATTTTGTTTGTTGATGTCCACAGCGATGTATTGGAGAACACAATACTGTTTGAATGGCGCACATACGTCTAGTGGAAACAGCAGTCTCATCCCCTATTCGTCGAAGAAATACCGCGCATCGAATTACGCCCGTCGTCGCCTCCCAGGTGTAATGGCAGTGCAGTGTCACCTTCTGGCAAAACCATGCCAGGCAGCATGGCAATAAAAATAAGGCTTGGAAAAAATCAAAATCGATAAATCAAAATCGATAAAGTTCGAACAAGGATGTCCGCAACGCCCAATGTGGGCACGACAGTAAAACGGCGCAGACATCTTTGGCGCCGGCTTTCCTTCGGCCACCGGTCACCTCCGGCGGGGTTCTCGCCCCCCGGCGCCCGGCTCTCACTGGGTGCCATTCGCCGTTGCCCTCCCCCAGACGCCCCAGAGCTCCAAACCCAGCCTCAAAACCCCATCCCCCCCCCCCCCCCTTCCGCCAACCACTTCAATGCCACATCCCTGCACCCGCCTCCACGGCGCGGCTCCCGCGATCCCAATCATCGCCTCGACATGCCCATGCCCGCGCCGAGGGTCGATCGCCCCCGGGGGAGCCCGTCCGTATTCCGATCGTCCGCTGGGCGCGAATTCGATTCTGGCGCGGCCGTTGGGCGTGAAATGGAAGTTGGCGTGGCCAACGGGCGGGGATCAGATTTTTGATCTGCGGGGAGGGAGACTGGGCGCGGCGGGGACGGAGGAGGGCGCGCCAGGCACCGGCGAGGGGATCAAGAGGACGATGGCGGACCTGGACGCGATCTTGGGGATCGAAGAGGAGGAGGAGGAGGGGTTGGGGGTGGGTATTGGGTCATTTGCTTGGGTTGCACCGCAAAGAAATTTACATTATTTAGCATTAGCGTTAACTTGAACATAAACAATAACACTAACATTAACATTCGTTGCGTTTAAAATTAACATTTAGGCATTTGTTTGATAAATGCATCCATTTCAACGGCATGAGGAGCGATGTGCTGGTTGGGGATGTGTCTCTACTGAGTTCGTGTAAGGGAGGGCTGCGGTTGTTTGGTGACTTCCACGAGGGCCTCGAAAATCCTTGGTAATAAGAAACCCTTCAACTACGCATCGGAGCACACAAAGTGTATGTATTCGTAGCCAAGGGCTTGCATTGGGCCTTCGCAATTTGATTGCTCCAGGCAGAGCAGGTCCACTGAGCTTTGTACATAGATGTCCCATACCCTTCATTTGTGGGCGTGGAGTCGTGGGGGTCAGGAAGGTCAACAAACACAAAGGTCATGAAGGTCAATTTTGTGCTTGGGGTATTCAGATTTAGGGGGCATTTAGGTCCATAGTGCCTGAAACTCTTTTCTGTACTAAAGATGATGGCCCATAAGGCCACATAATGATGACCCATAATTCCACAAGGTGGAGGTGGGTCGGCTGGGGGGCATCGAAGGGGATGGTTGTTGCTAATTGTTGCCACAACGAAACAAAAACAACAGAACTCATCTCTTGCACCCTGCAGACAATGATGGGCATAATTCCAGGAGTGTCTACTCTTGCTGCTTCTATTCAGTTCACATGGTATCCATCAAGTCCAGAGTTCATCATCAGTGATCAGCTTACACTTGCATCCGATCCAGTATCCATCATCAGACCCGGTATCCATGATGGATACTCCATGCAATTATGGCTGCAGAAGAAATCAAGGCCACACATGTAATCAATGCCTGTTCGGAGTTGTTGTACCTCTCTCTGTTGCTTGTGGATCATCTCTAAAGTGTGGTGGTGAGTTGAGTCAAAGATTCAGTACCTGCAGTTACACTTCCAGTGTGGTAACCTCAATCCTTGCAGCCTCAACGCAATGATAAGATGCTGCGGAGGACTGATGAAATGAATTGAACCAAGTTCTGAACGGAAATTCCTTATGTTGAATTCGAAGGCTTGGGAAGTGCACAAGCTATCCAAGGAGGCAGCAACTGGTGCAATAATCTGGCAACACAGTCAGGATAGCGCATATGTCCTGTATTATGTCCAGTACCCTATGTGCCTTTCCAGTGTTTAGTTTGTGCATCGATCAGTTGTTTAAGTAGTCCATTGTAATATTTGTTTATTTATCTTTAAGTCCGTGGTACTTTCTTGTGAGGATGTGCAGGAGGAGCCCCTTGCCTTGGATAATATTGCTCCGGAGTCTGTTCAAAGGGAGGCGCAAAAATTGGCAGCACAAGTTGCCGAGGGTGAGGAGCAACAGAAGGAGGTCTTTGACAACATAGTAAGCAATGACTCCTGGGTGAGAATGAACCTAACTTACCTTCTGTGGCTTGTGCAGTTGCTGAATAGAAAATAGCCTGCCTGATGGTCCTTGACTTTGGATGTGGAGTGCTGTGCACATGCATTCAGGCATGATCTGAATGGCAGCTTTTGCTATGGGTCACATGCCCACCTTGAAACAAGGAATTCGAGCAGATGTTCTACCCCACAATGTTGGGTGAATGCCTTGCTATGCGAAATCATGCTATGAGAAATCCCTATGTGGAAATTAGGTCATGTTGTTGACGCATTCTTGACATGTTGCAGGTACTTTCACGCACAGAATATTGGCTTACACCATTCAGCCATGTGCTAATGAGCAGTGTCGATGGCATTCACTGCCAGTGTTCAGTGCAGTAGCTTGTCTTTGCTGAACAATGGTCCCACAACGCCCCTCACTTTGAAGCATGCTTGCTTTCTGCATGCATCCTTACCAATGCATCAATCCCCAAGGGACTCAGCAGCACCTTGCAGTGCTGTATTGTCTTGGGCGCAAAAAAAGCCTCGTATCAACAACCCTTGAATCTATTGGATGGGTGCCCGCCATTCGCATTTTTTTTGCTTTTGCCATTGGCTGCTATCTGGTCGGCCTCCTGGTGTTTGGGTTTCCAAGAATGCACTGGAAGCTGTGCCCATGCTTTGCAAGTGTAAGGACTGTGTGTGGCACATCTTCTGACACACTTGATCAGCAGATTAACAAACAGCAGCATTGGGGATGGACCTTATCGTGTAGCTTCTTGTGTGATCGTGTTTTTGAATGTGAATGCATCCCCAACAGAAAGCCGTTTATTATGAAAGTCCCTTCCCAAGCATGGAAGCGAAAACTTGGTACTGTCACACTTCACCTGCTGTTCGGAGAGTCTTGCCAAATGTCGCTGGTATTAGGGTGCTTGCCCAACTGAACATCTCTGGTAGAACTGTGTGGGAGTGGTTTCTGTGTGCAAGCCATTGTTCACTCTCAGCAGTGCCTTGTGAGTTAGTTGCCTCTTTGCATCTGCAGATGAAGGTTGTGGAATCTGCAGAGCAAACAGCCGAAGCTGAAGATGACGAGGCAGGCATGCACACATCAGTTTAGCCTCGGCAGAATCTCGACTCATAGCCCCAACGCCGTGCAGCGCATTTTCATAGATTGCATTGTCAGAACGACATGGCAAGCTGGAGCACTTGTGGGCAGCGACCGGCGCAGGAACAGCCAATCAATTTTGATCGATGTCCGCAGAGCATAGTTCTGCGTGCTGTCAAGAGTGTGTCAAAGACACAAGTTTCCCTACTGGCATATCCGGTCTCAATACTGTTGCCAATTCCAGGTGCCCTTCCCTGTTGTCCAGTTTTGAGTACAAAATGGATTGGCGTTCAATAGTCTTAAAGGCTTGAGTTTTCAACACAAGGGTATTTGTCACTGGCGTTCCTGCTGATCGGAGGTAACTGCGGCTTCAGGGGAGGCAGAAGTCCGACAAACACTGGAGAACCTGATTCAGTCCATCGACGGACCGACTCAGTACGTGACGCAAGAGGACATCAACACAATAAAGGAGCGCGTGTTTGGGCCCACCGTGTTTTGGGTTACTGAGGTGTGTTGTTGTTTTTATTGTCCCTGCACTTTGGAGATTTCCAAGTATTGTGTCACTGTGGTTGTGATTGTCGAGGTGATTCGTATAGCATGGAAACGAGGTGATGTTGTGTCACCATCTCGTTCCAGCGCACTGTCCAATGGCTCTGCAACCTAAAAGCCTCCACCGGCAGAACTCCTTTCCGAAGAAGCGTCTTAAACAAAAGGCGCTCGAATTCCACAAGTTGTTGATGTTATTTAATAATTGGGATAACCTCATAATTCGCTCTGTGATGCCAAAGGCGCTCTGCGTGTTGCCACTGCTGCGCTTGGAGACTTCTGCACCATCCATTAACGCGCTAAAAAATATAAGATGAAAAATACAAAATCATTGTATATAAAGAACATATAAATTCAAAAATGTCGAGTAATATTAAAGAACCTCGAGTATCGTGGAAGAACTTGCCCTGAAAGGGCAGAGACACCTGACGACAGGAAAGGAACGCATATCTTATGATGTGCAACCCCTCGTGGGCATGTGGTGACGCGACTCTGTTCCTTACTGTGGCAGATGATGTAGAGTGATGATGACATAGAAGATGATGTAGAAGAGATGTAGGTGACGTACGTGTAGATGACGCAGAAGTCTCCAAAGACAAAGCGCAGCACCGTGCAGCATGCATAGCAAGAAAACACGCAGTCGGGCGGCCACCATGACGATAATGCTCAGGCATGCTGAGTAAGGATGTGTGCACATGGTATGACATGTTGCTTCGTGGATCGCTTCTTCCCTGTTGTTTCCTTGGGGATTTGCCCTTCCGTTGGTCACATTTTGGTCAGGGATGGGGCAGCCCACTGGATTTGTCTTGGCCTGGGCATTGGGTCCAACACTTTGTCGGGAATGATTGGAAGTGGTTTTGCTTAATGTACAGAGAAGCGTGGAAGTCATGATTGTGACCATTGTGAGTTGTTTTGCAACGTGGTGTGTTCTGTTGCTCCGTTGCTTGCCTCCAAGTATTCATTCAGTTGTTCTCTTGTGTGACATGCCTTCTATCTTCCCTCCTTTCTGTCAGAGAGGAATCTTCTCGTGGTGCGGTGGAAGCACACGTTGCGGAGGCAAAAATTCGGCCATTACACACACACACAACTTGTTCCTGGCGTAAATTCATGTTGAATTCCTGAAAATCATGTGTTCGCAATGTAAGCCGTGCTGAAAATGGACCAATTGTTGCAACATTATTCATATTGTGTGAAGTGTGAATGACTCTGCAAGGCAAGCGTATTTATGTCACCAGCAGAAAACACCATATTGGCTATGCCATTCGACACTAGTGGACGCCATCAACTTTGCTCCCATGCCATCGCGGTCAATGCGATGCGCTGCTGAATGTCCAAATGGCATCGCAGTTGGCATCGCCGAAGTAATGTTTTCTGCCAATTGCATTATTGCTGCCAATTGCAGCCGATTGCTGCCAATTGTAGTAATGATAGGTCCTGCACCCGCTCTCCCTGGCAGGGCCTCTGTATCATCCGAGAATTCCTTTACAGTTGCATGACACATTCTTTGGTCTTAGCTCTTCCCACAGGGAAATACGGTTTGTATACTCATAGCCCATTTTGGGGAAAAGTCGTCCAAGCCTCTGTACTTTACAGTACTTGCTTTTACCACTTTTCTCTGACATGACGGCCTGCTGGCCTGTCACGCCGCATGTACATAACGCCATGCCATACAGGCCTGACCGCATTCCTGACAGGCCTGTACACAAGAACATTATGACATGTCGTGTCATGTATACTCTGTATATATGACATGTACATATGCATATATATGGGACACAAATGGCATGCATATATGCACATATATGGTGGCACGTATATGTATGAGACATAAGATATCTTGTGCGGTGCAGGTCGTGCGCAGGGAGTCTCCCAGGCTGGAGCGAAGTGTCGTTTTCCGTGGCAACTTGCGGGGGAAGCGGGAGAAGTTGTTCCCCGATATCGTGTCAAGGTTCAGGGAGCTATTTGGTGAGGTGCATGCAGGCCCAAACAGGATTCTTCCATTGATGTTAATGGCAGTAGATTATCTAAGTAGCAGACGTCAATAGTGATAAAAGAAGTGTGGTGATGGCACACAATTGAAGATTTGTTTCCGTTCTACTTCTTCCTTCCCAAGAAATTTGGCAGCTATGATTTGGGGCCTTGGGAAATCCTATCAAAACATCTTCAACAGAGATATAATTTTGACCAGATGTGTCAATTTCGACCCACCACATTTATTGAACAATCGGCTAAGTATTGAGGGATATACGATCCCTCCGACATGGGCATGTCAGACCAAACGTCGTCCAAGTCTCGTTGTGGCGTAGAGATAGGCAAATTTGTCGATTACATAATTCACGAAGTGCCAACATTCCGCTTTGGGACTCTCCAACTTTGCTCCGATCTGAAGGCCGAATGATGCCTGCAGCCCTCGCTTCTCCACTATGTAGCGAGGGCTTAAGTCACCATGCTGAGGGGCCATTTAGGCTAACCGGAAATTTGGCTCGACATGCCCATGTATGGGGGGCAATATCTCCCTCAGTACTTGGCAGACTGAGCTAATAATGTCATGGGTCACGATTCACATAAATTTCAATATCTGGTCAAATTTCGGCGCTATCAGAGATGTCTTGATAGGTTTTCTCCAAGGCCACAATCGCTTTAATTGCTATAATTGCAATCCTCTTTGGGATGGAAGAAGTAGCGATTATTAATATTTTATTATGATGACCCATGCTCGAACATAAGTCATCTACAACTTCCAGTGGACCGTTTGAAGAACTCCAAATGGTCCAAATTAGTTGTTGAAATGCTCCAAGCACTATAGTTTCTGAGGCACCTTGGGGCTTAAATGACAATTTGTGTGACATGTCCATGATTGGGAGGACATATCTCCCTCAGGACTTGGCCAATTGATGCAGAAATTTGGTGGATCAGAATTGACACAAATTTAAATATCTTAAATATCAAAATTTTAGCGCTATTGATGATGCTGTGATGGGATTTACCATGGCCCCAAATCATAACTGCCAAACATTTTGGGACAGAGGAAGTATATCGTTTGTTCGATGATGTAGAAAATATGGATACTGCACATGTATGGAAACAGCAGAAATACAGATTAGAAATATGATGAAAGAAATAGAGTAGTATGATACAGCAGTATTGTGTCGATGGTAGATAAGAGCTGGTGATGTTTTAAGCATACTAATATTATCAATATGATTCGATTACTTTAGGGGCAATTTGTGATGAGGGTTCACAGTCAGGGACTGCTGGCGAACGAAACCCTGACACTGTTTCACCAATGGCTGCAGGCGACAAATACACCGTGTTCCTCATCGAAGACATGGAAAGGGAGGCAGTCGACAGCGACCAGGGGCCCTGGGCGGCCATCCAGGTCATGCCCACGGCATCGGCGGTCCCCCAAGAGATGCCCTCATGGGCCATGCTGCTCGTTGGCGCCTTGGTCCTGTTCACGATCGGGACGTCGTTACAGTTGGGGCTGGTGGCCAACATCGGGAGGCTGCCCAAGGCAAGTGGACTGCGCCGTGACTGGCCTGATGTGGTATTGTTGTGTGTAGAATGCAAGGATTGGCTGTTCAGTGGCTTGGAATCATTACAATGGTGGCGATGGTCATTGCCGCTATCTTCATATCATAGGCGCCGCCATCATGCTTTTGTCTTTGCATTGGACACATTCATAGTCTTGTTTTGGGGGTAGGGTTGGGGGGTGGGGGGGGTAAGGGGGTTACAAGGCTGCTTTTTTGTGGTATTTGGTTGCACCACTTGGTCACACAAGAAGGTGCATTATCTGTGTGAAATGTGAACTATACCATTAGATATGGCATCGAATTCGACAACAGGAGGTGTCACCACTGAGGGCAATTCACGCAATCTGCGCCACCATATCATGAAGCCATTATCTACATTATGGCCACGGCCACCATCATTGACACCAGCACCATTAACTGAATCGAAAGCACATGTGTCTGCATGCAAGGAACACAACTGAAGCACGCACTTGCCAGCTGTATTTTTTGCTTTACAGGTCATGTGTGTATAGTGTGTACAGTGTGTCAGGTGTTTACGGTTCAAGTGATAATCATGATCACTGTGCTATGACCAATGCCATTGTCAGTTTCACTATCATTGCAGTCGTCCTATCATCGAATTCGCCAGCAATTGTTCCTTAGCATATACAATAAGATCTGGTGGCTAACATCTTGCAGAATCTCACCTCGCCATCCAGAATTTCAATTGTAGGAATTAGTATCATCGTTGTCATGCTGCACAAGTAGGGTCATCGCTGCCATTGTGACGATCATTGCTTTGTCATTATAACCCTCATCAAGTCATTGTCACTATCTCAGTCATTGGCAGTTGTTCCTTCGCACAGGAGACGGTCGAGTGGCTGGCGCACCCTGAGGCCTCCAACTCAGACGTACCGCCCCTGGGCCTGGATTCTATGGACACCTTTGCCTTTTCTCTGTCCACTCTCTCCATCACAAGCGCTGTCCTCCTGCTGCAGGTTGGAATTGTGATTGTTTGTGCTGTGTTTTCCTTATTCTATACCCTATATTGTTTATTGTTTTGGTTACTGTCACTTGATTATTTGATTATTATTTGTTCTTGGTTCTTGTTTATTGTTTCTTTGTTTTGTTCATTCATGAATTGCTAGTGCTTTTCAGGATGCGAACGTATGCACATCTGTGACGCTGCCTTGCTGGGAATTCCTGACTGTCTCCACATCTTGCCTCCCCATCAGATGTGTGGTCGTGCTGCACTGGGCAGGGAATCTTATTTGTCGTCGATAACGAGTGCATTAATTGGTACTTCATTTTGTTTTTGATTGAATCGTTCGCTGATATCTGCATATTCTGAGAACATCCATCTGCATTCAATAGATCATAGCACATTCGAATCTTCCGTATGTTGAACTGTCAGCATTACAATTTCGCTTCACTTCTCATTGGCAGACCTTTATTGTCTGCTTGGCTGTGTAATGTGCATTGGTGGAGTGGCAACGCCTCCTAGTTTGCATTCCCTTTTACATGCCGGTTTTCTGCCTCAGTGACTCATGCACCTGGGGCCGCTGGTCACCGTGAGGGCTGGGGCTTCTCGAGTCATTTGGGCACCATTATGTTGTTTTCATTATTGCTATGCACAAAAAGGCCAACATTATGTTGTAGTGAAGAAGGCTTGAATATACTACAGTACACTTTCATTTTTGTGGTTGCGAAAACCTGGCCGAAGAGCATACTGACTGGGTCAGAAGATGAATTGGGAGAATGCACATTGGGTTTGCTCAACAGAACCTCGAAGGTGAAAGGCCAGCTGCTTGCCATGTTACCAACAACTGCAATAGTTAAAGTTCAATTACAGTGGTGGTGAAGACGATAGCTACACAATAGATCAAGAAATATGCAGCAAACGTAAACAACAATGATACATATTGATCACTTTTGAATGTTGTATGTATGCGAGTCAATGTCCTTGTCATCCATTATTTCCCTCAACAATGCGATTCGCCCACTGCTCCAGGGCACCCATGAGCTGGGCCACAGGCTGGCGGCTTCCTTTCGCAACGTCAGGCTGGGTCCTTCCTTCCTGCTTCCCAACACACAGCTGGGAACCTTTGGGTCCGTTACTCCGCTGAAGTCACTGGCACAGAATCGCACAGAGCTGTGGGATGTGGCCTTTGCCGGCCCTGCGCTAGGGGGGTTGGCCTCCATGGCAGCACTCATTGCAGGGCTGCTCCTGGCCTCGGTGAGAGACGATGAAAATACTGGGCGATTGTGCTACAGATCCATGGTGTTGCTTAAGTACTGGATTAGAGGAACGTTGGACTGAGGGGGTGGTGATGGTGTTGGCGTGGCTGTGGCAACACAGCCATCATACCCACAAGGCAGTAGCAGACACAGCAGAAGCAATTAATGATCAAGAATGAGTGGAATTGATGAGTAGTGAATAACAATTTTCACCATTAATTCTGTGCATGTTGCTGGCTCATGGCACACTGTTCGAGAACATTCTCAGTGCTCTCCACTGTCGAATGAGCTGGAACATTGGGAACAAAAGTGGTGGCTGGCCGTTAGGCTGCTGCTGGCCTCTGTAAGAGAGGGATAACGCAGCTGATTCATCAGATATGATTTCTGTCTGATGTCATCGAATGGATCTATCTGATCTAAAGCTTTTAACAGATCCATCTGGTCCATCTGGTATGATCGCTGTGAACTGTCTGATATGATCCAGTTGATTTATCTGAACTGGTACTTCTAGCAGTCCATCTGATGTTGTCCCCAAAGCATGAAAGTATGACCCAGTGCCTGCAGGCAGTGAAGGAAGCGATGCGATGCACAATGGCAAGAAATTTCTCTCTTTCACACAATTTCTAAGTTCTCTTAAATTGTGTTTAGTGCTGATAATCAGGCATTAACGATTTTGGCATTTGTAGAATTTGACCAAGTCATGCAACGCGGATTGTGTGATCGTTTGCATCATGATCTGATGCTGTTCTCAACCAGTGCGAGAGCTTTTGTTTGGCAGTATATGTCATGTTCTCAAGTATTCAAGGATTTGCTCAACTTGGCATTTTGTCAAACGCTGCTTTTCCACTCCAAGCGAACCCGCGACTTACCACACAGCAGCGATCAGTCTCACATCGCACCATCAACGCCCTGTGAGGCCATGGTAAGGATGCACTGAAAACAGGTGGTCTGAGAAAGTGGATTGAAAGTGAACAAAGAGCCTGCCCATCTGAGCCCCATTGTGTGCCGCAGGACCCTGGCATGGACCACCAGCTGCTGGTTCCTGTCCCTTCTGGTCTGCTGCAAGGCAGCGTGGGGGTTGGCAGCCTGTTGAAGTTGATTCTTGGCCAGCAAGCGGCACAGCCTGAGGTGTTGCTGCACCCCCTCACTGTTGCAGGTGTGTTGAGTAGGGAATGAGCACAATATGAGCACATTGGAGGGACACGCATCAGTGGATGTGGTTAACTGAATGTATCGAGCACCCCTGCACTGGGATACTAAAAGAAGGACATCCAATGAAACATCGGATCCTTGTCTTGGGCACATGCATAACTTGACAGAGCAAAACCCCATGCACCAGAATGGTGATCCCTAGCAGCCAAGGTACGCAGTGTCTGTAGTGTATGTTCTTCCATTCCAGTATTTGATGAAAAGCAGATATGCTGCCAATGGGAGGCACGCCTGTGATGAATATTTTGTATGCAAACATTGCCCAACAGCTCACTTCGCTGTGCTGCAACCGCCAAGGCGCTAATTTGTCATATTTCCCATTGCCATACTTGTCACGATGAGTGCCATCTATTCGGATCTGCACAAGTTACAAGTGTTAGTTTTGTAAGCACGTTAAGATTCACAGACTGGGAAAAACTGACCAACATCAAGAGTGCCTGAATGCTGATTCAGCTGCACTTCCAGTTACGGGTTTCAGCATAGCAAACCCTGCTGTTTGTGGCATGTGGAAAATCAGGGAGCACAGATGTGTGTGCCATTTCAGTTCATTTCAGCACATGTAAGAAGATACATGCGCTGAATGAATAAATGGTTAACAGGGAAGTGCCAGCTTGATACAAGATTTGCCTCTTCCAACTTGCTTCGCAATCGGGAAAGGTCACACGTTACTCTGTATTGAGAGGGCATGTACGACACAGTTCCAACATGCTGAGCGTACTCCCTGGCCCATCTTGGTTGATCGTTCTTTGGGCAATCTTTCCGCCATTCCTTTTGGGGATCCATATTGCCTTTTGGTCAATTTTTGCAACGATCACCTTTGGCTCACTGAAGTGTGCAAGTAGCCACCTTTGGATGCAACGTGCCAGAGCGTCAATTCCGCTCTGCGGTGCCGACTGCACTCAAAGCACAAGTGTACAGCCCACAGCACAAGTGCATGGCACGCAATACAGTACAGGCACAAGTACTCACCACTTCCCAGTACCTTGTACCACTTGCTTTGCACGCAAGGGCATTGTCATGAACAGGCTGCCGAACTTCGTCTGAACCGACTGTGAGCGCCTTGGCCAGGTTGGTGCGGCCTGACAACGACAGCCCTGAACCTTCTGCCGGTGGGGCAGCTCGATGGCGGGCGGCTCATGCTGTCGGCCTATGGCCCCCGGGCGCTCAACATCACATCCCTCTTCACATACGTGGGCCTGGCCTTCGGCATACTGGGCAGCTCGCTGGCACTGCCCTTCGGGCTGTTCGTCCTCATATGCCAACGGGATCCAGAGCCCAACGTCCAGGACACGTTGAGCCCCACAACTGGGGGCCGAAAAGTCGCCACCGGCGTGATGGCCGCCCTTGCGCTGCTGATCCTATTGCCTTTCGGCCCTGCGGCATCCGACATGGCATCAAACAGTCCAGGGGGTATGCTCATGTGAGGGGGAGGGGGACGGGGGTGGGGTGGGGGAGGGTCCTTTTGCTTTGGCCTTTTCACGTTTTTCCCATTTTCTGTCTTTTTGGTCTGTACTTCTGTACTTTTCATAATTTGGCACCCAGTCTGGGCTCCTGGAGAGCTGCAGTGTTTAGGTCCTAGAGTTGGTGTTAGGGCTTCAGGTGGGTAAGGACAGGCAGGGAATGCGGTGGCACTTGGGAGAGGGGGGATTTGTTTGCAGACGTGCGAGCGCTTGAGTGGATTAGTTGCTTGCGGGCTCAAGGATGCCAGGGTGCATGTCGATGGGGATATCTGGCAGCAGAGTTTTGCGGGTGTCGACTTATGAGCGACTAGCCGTGGAATGCAATGCCTCCACGGTCACTCATTTCGGGGCACATTGTGATGCATGCACCCAGATGAGCGTCCTGACGAGGACCCAGACGATCTAGGCTGTCTTGTCAAGACCATTGCATTCCTCCTGTGGGTTTGGATACTGTGGTGCAACCGGCTGTGCATTGGCTAAATCGGCTTGGTGGATTGAATTCATTTTGCAGCCATGTTGTCAAGAGTGTGGCAGCACATGGGCAATCAGCTTCATGTGTCAGGAGCATGGCAATGCATCGCCCAGCAGCTTCAAATGCAGTGAGGACCGATGGGGGTGTAGTTTTGATGTTGGAGTGCTCAAAGCAGGAATTGCCACAGAAGGGACCGCCCCCAGCAGTGTGCAGCTGTGCCGTTCCTTGCTGCTTCTCGAATGAGAGTCAGGCACTGCCTCGTTGCTTCATGGTGCAAAGGGGCATCAGATTGGGTATAGAGGCGGATGCTCTGACCAGCGCACAGATTTTTCTTGCCTGCTTCCATGCTGAGTACAGAGGACCCATTCGAGGAGAAACTGCGCAGCACTAATCCTTGTACGACTTTTTCAAGAAGTGTAACTTCTGTACAGTAGTTAATGCAGTTGGGTATGCCTCCTGTGGGTGTGAAAGTCCACTCCACGACCAGTGCTGGACATGATGAGGGTCTGGCCTTAAGGCACTGGCAGCCTCTCAGTTCCAGATGCACTTGTATCGGCACCAGCGCTTGGATTCTGTGGTAGTCCGCAGAAGTCCGCAGATGTCAGAAATGCCAATGCAAGCTAGCCAAGGGCATGCCTTGGAGTGAGCGTTGCTGAACGGGACTCCCAGGCTGTGATCGTGAGCATGGCAGTGGACAGATTGGAAGATTGCCAATTTTTTGGCTATCTGGAGTATCAGATGCCCCAAGGGCGGATTGTGGCTTTGTGAAGTGGTCTGACGTCGATGACATGATGCTGAGAATGTACAATGGCATCATACCATTTGAAAGCAGTTGCCCTGCAACTGCTCAGCAGCACTGCAGCCTTTGCCCTTGGGGCAACCCCAAGCTGCACGAGTTTCAATCTGCCAAGACAGACCCGCTGTTCGATCGGCGAGAGTTGGTTGGAGCCGATGACAGAGATGGCCCACCGTTCGCTGCCCCAGGTAGCGGCCAGGTAACGTGCCAGTCGGCCCCTGTTGTGCCCCTCTGGCAGCTGGGTTGTGCAGGTGAAGAACGTGTTCACCACAGCTTCCTCAGGCAGAGTGGCGAAGCTGCCGAATGGCTTTGCCATGGCCGCTGTTTGGGAAGCTGGAGCTCGCTCCTACATCCTCCCATTCAACCTCCCTCCTCAGGCAACCACGTCCTGCCCCTGCTCCCTCCCCTCCCCCGCCTCCCCCCTTCCTTGCCACCCCCGCACCCTCCCCACCGCCTCTGCCAATCCCTCTCCCTCAGACATGGAGCCATCTCCATGTCCGCAGGTGCACAGCCGCGCTGCATACATCAACGCACCTCCGAGCCTTTGCCCTCGCCTCTCCCAGGCGGCGTCCCGGGCCTCGGCGCCTCCGCCACCATCCCCTCCTCCAATTTCGGCCCCCCCTCAATCGCCTTCGAATCTTCCCCCTTCGCCCTCCCCGCCTCCTCCCCGCCCAGCCTCACCGTCCCGATCGGCACCCTCAATTCGAACCGCCACGCGGCTCCCTGGGTCGCCATCCCCGCCCTGGCATCTTCATCCATTCCCGCCGCCAGCAGCCTCGACCGCGGCCTGGTCCTCGACTTCGCCCTCCTGCCCCCGGGAAATGTCTTCCATCCGCGCCCAGGCGCGCCACCCCACTTGTCGCCCCCCATCGCCCGCCGCACCCCAATGGCGTCGATCCGGATCTTGCCGCCCTCGCGGCGACGCTCCCCGCCTCTTGATCTTGGCCCTCGCCGACCCTCGCCATCCAGCGCCTGCCGATCAATCAAATCGTTCTGTTGCGCTGGAGGCTGTACGCCACCTTCTCACAGCACTGAAAGGACCGTCGCTCACACTTGCTCAGAAGGGGTCGCCCTTTGTGTGACCCGTTTTCCCTTCAGTTCCTCTCTTTCCTTTCTGCTTCTTTATTTCATTTTGCAAACAAAGTTATCTGGCGATCAATCGTCTCACTGACTCCACATTATCTTTTCACAGCACGGGAAGAATCTCGCGCACGCTTGCTCAGGAGGTGGTGTGCTTTTGTATGACCTGCTTCTCTTTCTGTTTCTCTCGTTGTACACCACCCATGCCGTTGGCACAGGGACACTGTTTGACAGTCTGAGCTTAGCAGAGACACGCTACATGGCGAGTGTGTCGATTTTTCACGTTGCGTGTAAGGATTTTCATTCGTTCATGCATTCATTCTCTTGCTCTCGTTAACTTCTGTTTCTGATTCTTTTTGCAACAACCGTACCTGCCGATCAATCGCCTCGCTGCACCGGAGACTCCACACCATCTTCTCACAACAACAACAAGGCTCTCACCCACACTTGCCCAGTAGGGGACGCACTTCGCACGACATTTGTCTCTCTATTTTCCTCTATGTTTGTTTCTGTTTCTCTTTGCAACAAATCTTACCTCTCGATCAATCTTCCCCTGTCGTGATCGGCCCTCACCCTCGGAGATCGAACGGCCCCCTCCTCGCCGCCCGCCTCCCTCCCCGACATCCATTCCCTGCCGTCCCGCCCACGCCCTGCTGCTTGCACGCTTCACACCCCTGGCGCCCTGCGCCCCGCAGCCTCTTGTCATGCCTGGATTCCCTGTCCCTGTCTCCTCGCGCTTTGAGTCAAGCGCGTTGCTGTCTTGCGTCCCGTTTTGCTCTTCTGCGCTTTGCCCCTCGTGCCTTGTCCCTTGTTCCGCTTTGTGCCTTTTTCTTGCAGGGCCGCGGGTCACAATGATCTTGCTGGGCCATCCCACCTGCCGCCCTCGGGCCAGGCACGGCGACATCGGCCCCGTTGTGCTGCCTTCCGCATCCGCGTGGCGCTTGCGCGTGGGGCGCAATGGCGGCGGGCCGTAGGCGATCTCCTTGAGGCCGGCTAGCAGGCCGACGAGGGTGCGAGGGAGGGCGGGCATGGCGCCCGGGAAGACGGGGGGGGGAGGGGGCCGGGGCTTGACGACTTTGACGCCTCCTTGGCGCCAACGCAAAGCTGTGCCGGGGGCGCGGGCTTTTGAGCGGCGTTGGTGCTCCTCACAATGACGATGATCATTGTGAGGGCGAGGAAGGAGTCATTGAGTGATGATGATGACGTATGGTGTTTCATGGAGAAATGTACATGGAGACGACGGTGACGAGAGATGAACACATATGTGCTATTTGATTGGTACGTTCATCCTGTGATGCATCTGGCTGCGGCCTTGCTTCCCGTGCCTCAAGCGAACGAGAGTGTCGACTGAGCGCAAGGCGTGGTTAACGCATAATCATCATTCATTTTTACATAACGAGGCTAGGAGGCAGCCGTCAGCGTCCTATATAGGAAAGACACATATCTTACAGGATATACTCTGTCCGGGTAAAGCGGTGTCCATGATCAGTTCCTTGAAATCTGGTTTGTGACACAAACAAAATCCGGAGTGCGCCTCAGAATGACTCAGCTGCCTGCTTGCCTGCCTTGATGCGCCAGATGCAACAAATGAATGCCACCTCAGAATGACTCTGGACTGTGAACAAAATCATGGATTGTGAACAAGTCATGTACGACGCTTCGCTCGAGCGAAACAGGAAGCTGACGGCTACTTCCTTGGTCCATTACGTAGTGTTTCATACCGATGATGATGATTCTGGACTATCCCGGTCGCACGACTCGTAGCGAATCATTAAAAAACCGCCATCTCGCTCATGACGAAGGCGGAAGATGGGTATATTCGGGACGCCATGTACGTCATAGGGAATGGGCAGGGCAAGTCGCCACTGTATACGAAAATGGAATGAATGAATGTATCGTTGTAGGCAACGTGAAGACACGACACATTGGTTGTGACAGGTGTCTCTGCTGAACTCGAACGCTGCTCATGGGTGGCGTTGAGCTCACAGAGGGCAATTTTTTTCTTGTCGAAAACTCTTGCTGTCGAAGATACAACAATAGGGAGTCTGAGTTGGATGAAGCAGCAATCCTGTGTGCTCACAGTATGTCATCTTGGCCGGTCGCATCCCAAAGTGATCGGTATTCAAAGGTTCCATACGGAACACAGGTTTTTCGGACCTAAGTTGTGGGCATCAGTCAGTATCAGTGACTGATATCACCTTCGTAACCAAAAGCGTAATGAAGACACTATGGTATGATGCTGCTTGTTGTGATATTATGTCAGTGACGGACGCTTTTTGTCATTACGACAATTATGCCAGACAACGAGTATGTTGGGAAAAAGTGGTAGCCAGAGACCGAGTAGTTTATGACACTTGATTGTACGAATATTTCCCGAACGGATCAGGGCCAGCCTAGCCCCAAGCCGCCGGTCATTTATGGCAGGTGGGCCGGGTGCCAGGACAGAATCTTGTGGCGCCCGCTTGGCCTAGCGTGGGGAATCTCAATCGTCCGCTCATTCTAAACGCATCAATCAATCACTCAAAATCGAATCCACCTCAAGTGGCCCCATCCATTCAGAGTTGTGCCTTGCGTCCCCCCACCTTATGTGACCAATGGGAGAACGGCCACCCATGCACCCGTCACCCAATCCAATGCACCAATGCATGGTGAAGGAGCCTCCCAACCCAGCAAACAACCTGGGCCTTCATCCGCCCCCATCACCGTCGTCACCCTACCGGCCCCATCACAAATCACAACCCTGGCTGCCTCACACCTTTCCTTCTCCCCTGCACCCTCCACTACCACCTGGCACCTGCTGCAGACAGGCCTCAACTCACAGCACAGCCAGAGCCGACCCACCGTGCCCTGCCCATCCAACAAAGGCCATTCCCCACTCCCCAAACCCCAAGCCCATCCCTGGCTCAAGGTCAGGTCCTTGGATCCTGCCTCCTGGATACTGGATCCTTGGCGCTGGCTCTTTGCTTTTGGCTACTGGATCCTAGATCTTGGCACCTGGCTCTTGGCTCCTGGCTCTTGGGCCCTTCCGCTGTTCTCCCTACCCTAGAGCCACCCCTATTCAGCTATCACCTAGCGGCCTACAGCCCTTTGTTTGGATCGTAAATCGCTAAGTGGTCATTCTCCAAGGTGCCAATGAACATGCAGCCCCCATCCCCCTGCCCGGCTCAATGCAGCGGCCTACAGCCCCTGTTGGGATCATTGATCCCTATGTAGTAGCTCTCCAGGGTGCCACAAAACATGCCGCTCCCACCACTTTCCTGGCTCCGTGCAGCGGCCTACAGGCCCATTATGGCAGCATAGATCCCTATGCAGTAGTTCTCCAGGGTGCCACAAAACATGCCGCTCCCAACCCCTTCCCTGCTTCATGCAGCGGCCTATAGCCTCCTGTTGGGATCATAGATCCCTATGTGATCATTCTCCAGCGTGCCGAAAAACATGCGGCCCCCCACCTCCCGCACGCCCGAGATGCCGCTCATGAAACCCCCCTCCACATCAAAGTGCGTCTCCACAACCTTCCCCTCCGGGCTGACCCTGATCACCGCCCCCCAAGGCTTCGGCCTTGGCCTCCACTTGGGCGGGATCCAAGCGGCGATCGCCCTCAGGGGCCTGAAGGGCATGAGCTTGAGAATGGGCGATGGCCTGCTGATCAGCGCGATCAAAAAGTTGCCGTCCTCCCCGCGGGATATGCCGTCCGGAAACCCCGGCAGGGCGTCAATCAAGACGTCGGTCTGGCCCGCTTGCGGGCCCTTGAGCCAGTGCCGCCTCACCCTCAACGCGGTCGTTTCGACAACCGCCACGAACGACTCATCCTTGGCCAGAGCAACGCCATTCGCGTACCAGATCCCGCCTGCCAACACCTTGGCTGTGCGCTCTTTTGGGTTGTAGGCAAGCAGCCGGCCCGCCGGCTTGCCTCTGAGAGCATCCAGCAGATAGGTGTTGAACGTGTCGTAGAAGCCATCCCTGTTGAAGGCCACGCGCAAGTCGGTGGACGCGCTGAAGTAAACCGTCCCATCCTTCGCAATGTCCAAATCGTTCGCGTAGTTGATCTCGCTCCCGGGGTCGATCGCCGAGTCCTCGGCCACGCGGTTGGCCAGCACGACCAGCCGCCGCGTGCCGTTCGCCACCATCACCAGCCCCTTCAGCGAGTCGCAGATCACCAGATTCCCGCCTTGGTCAAATTCCGCCCCCAGCGGCCGCCCAGGGCCGGTATACGCAAACACACCGTCCTCCAGCTCCACCCTCGGCACCCCACTTGTGGATTCAATTACTGAACCTCTCTTGGCGTATCCAAATTTATCCAGCACGATCACAGTCTTGCCGTCATGCGCTACCACCAGCGACTCAGGGCCACTGACAACCCCTTGCAGCAAGCGGACCGTGCCTTGCAGCCGGGTGTTCGGCGCGTAGTCGCCCTCGAGCGGGGACGGCACCAGGGGCAGCAGATGCGATGGGACGTCCACGGCTCGCTCGTTGATGGCGGGGTAGGGCAGGCCCAGGGGGAGGACGTCGGTGAGGACGGCCAGGGCGGCGACCAGCGACGCGATCGCCAGCAGCCCAGCGGGGTTCATCCTCGATTGGCCGCAAGGGCTGATCGGCAGATGTCTCGATTGGGGTTGTGGGGCCGGGAAGGGGGGGGAGGGAGAGTAGGCGACGGGGGAGGGCTGTGAAGAGGCTGGGCTAGGTGGGGACTCCGGGCTTAGCTTCTGGTGGCGTGGCAGGGTGGCTGTTGGCGCCCTGTCGTTGCGCCCGTTCTAGCCAGCTCTGTTTGCATGTTTCTCGGGCCAATTTGTGCCTTTTTTTGCGTCGTTTGCTATGTTGGATCGCTTTTGGCTATTTCTGAGTTTTTTGGCCTTTTCTTCCTGTTCCCTTGTCCAAGGTCGCAGCAGGCTGTCTTGCGTGTGGTGTGTGTGGAGCACCGAGAGGGAAATGCCGAAATTCTGAAATGCCAAAACGTTCGTCTTGGCTCGTTGTCACAGACGGGATTGAAACGTGGCCTATGGCCTTGTCAATAGAGTGAATTAAAAAATTCTCGCGTGTGCATGGAAATGAATATGTCCAAGTACAAGCTAATGTGCAGGGGTTTCTCAAACGAGTCATTAATCAGTCAATCAATTGATATGACGAGAAATCAACCAATTAATGAACGAGTATGAGCACCGATCAAATGTTATGATTGATAGAGGGCGTTTCCTAATCAATACATCGCCATGAGTTGACTCAAGCTTAGTCCGGATTGATCGGAATCACCGGCAAGTGGTCACATGCCGTTTCAGCATCAAGGCGCCTGCGTCGTTCTGAACACTGCAAGCCTCTAGCGTACCTTGGCCTAATGCTACTCCCAGGGTCAGCGCGGTTTCGGCGGGGCGGAGGCAGACGCCTGGGCACACCCTTTTGGAGAAAGATTTACAAAAGCTATTATACCAATATGGTGCTATAGTACTATACTACAAAAGTACTACAGTTGCTAAGCCCCACCCTACATTGTCCCAAAAGTGTGTTGTTGACCTGCGTCCGCAAGACTGAGTGACCTCGGCGAAGTTTTGATGCCCCTGGATGCCACCTGTTCATTCACAGAGTGATGGAAGCCTCCATTTATTATACATTCTCTGTGATTGTCCATTTTGCATCAAATTGTTGTGGCGCTGCTCCACAGTCCATCCACGCCAAAGCGCCATCATCATTCCCACAGATTCTTAAAATAAGGATAGGCGCCAGTTAGCTCATAGTCAATAACGACAATTCCATGGCTGATTGAAATACCATGTACTTTGGTTTCTGGGTGTGAGGAGGTATCTCCCAAGGATTGTCGTCCCGTTCGCCCAGAGCACATTCCTGCCAGGCGACCGTGCCGCTGCCCTAGTAGTGTAGAAACGACTTCTTGGTCCT